TGACCCATGTTGCTTGTTTTGCACGTGGGTACGTATCCTTATGGAGCGTAGGCGGAGGAGAGCAGCGTGTTGATATAGCTAGAGAGCAGCACCAGGAGGCTCGTGTGGAACCGGAAGTTCGTGAAGCTTGATCATCTCAGTAGGTCTTAGTTCTTTTGTTTCAGTTCATAGTTTATGTTTTATCGAGGAAGACAGTACCTCAGTAGGAGTTGAATATATATCCTTTGGAGTTGTTTATTTAAGTTTTGGAGTTTCTGTTTAATTTATGGAGATTTGGTTGGAAGTTTTAATTATTTGTGGATTTTGAAGTCCAAGGATCTTTACTATTTGTGCAAATGTTATTTAGATTATTGTTACAATCCTATTTATTTAATTAGGGTCGTGACATTTGTAATGGAAACATTCACAATGAAGATAATTGCCTACACATTCCTTACGAACAAGAACAAGTTAACGATATTTGGGATAATAGAACTAACGCTACACCTCAAGGTAATTCATACAATCCAACATGGGCTAATCATCAAAACTTTCGATGGGGAGATCAAAACAATGCTAGACATTTCAATCAAAACCCACAAAACTTTCAAGGAAATAACATGAATAGAAACCCTAATGGATATATGAGGCAAAACAATAACTTTCAAGGTTATAGAAACAACAATGAAGTTAATCAACCTCCGGTTCAAAATCTCGAAAAAACGGAGCAACCTAAAACTAACTATGCAGCTCTTTTAATGAAGATACTTGAACAACAAACAAATCAAAATAAAATCATTGAAAGACTTGAAAACAAAGTTGCTAAAATAGATGCCGAACAAGAGAAAGGAAAATTTCCGGGACAACCTATTCAAAATCCAAAACCAATTCAAAAAGTTTTTGTAGTTTCAACTAGTAATCCTCCGATTCAAAGAAAAGAAGCTAAGGCCAGAACTACTTTACGTTCAAGAAAAGAATATAATAATAAAGTAGTAATGTCAAATGAAGATGACTTAGTTAAACAACCCTGGTAATGTCACTTCTAGCTCATGGTTGGATGTGTTACATGTTTGATATCTGATGGTTTTATTTCTTGATGTTCTTGATTATATATCATATTTATGTTGCCTAACCTTAACCCTAGTATGTTAGTGTATCTTTCAAGATTCTATCTATAGGCACATACTAAGGGGGAGCAAAGGTTCAGGGGGAGTTGCCTACAAGAGACTCATATGTTGTTTTGTATTTCTATGGACATGTGTTATGATTTATATTCATATGTTGTTTTTATCACAAGTTCCCAAAGGGGGAGATTGTAAATGTTATATCATGTGAATTGTGACAAACAAGGGCAAAACAGACTTTTCACATGTTATATTATATTATGAGTCCTTGTATTAGGTCTAGTTCTTGGTATACAAGTGTCCGGAAGGTTTCAGAGCTGAAGACATCAAGAATGGACGCGTCGGCGGCAACTGAGCACACCCAGGAGTCAAGCAGGCAGGTCAAGCAGGCAGCTGGATAAGAAGGCAGCTTTTATCAGAACGAAAAATTCTCCTTGGGGGAGTTACTTCTTTGAAAAACTTAGCAATATGGAATGGACAAATCTCTTGTACTCGGGTAATGAGACTTATTCACCAACTTTTATTAGATTATTCTATCGGAATATTGAAATAGTGCATAGTGAAGAAAAACCTGGTTTTTATGTTAGAATGCATGGAGATATCTTATATGTATGTCCGGGTATGATTGGTCAATCTTTTGGTATACCACACACTTTTTATGAAAATCACAATCACATGATGGAAAAGTGGTATAACTCCAATAAACCCGTGTATGATGTGCTTAAGTTTTCTCAGATTTTATCACCATGTGTAGAAGGTAATAGCGGAACACTAGACTCAAGTCAATTTTGTAATAATTAAGCTCTCGTTTTGATGTGGATGGCATCTAATATCCTTGGTTATGAGGACCCCTCTAGAGTTGATGAAAACATGTGCCAGCTTTTATATGAATTGCAAAGTAATGAACCTTGTTATCAAATATGCTTTAGACTTATTAATACTATTCTTGATGTTATCCTTTCAAATAGAGCTTTATGTGTGCTTCCGGGGACCATCACTAAGATGGTTGCCTTCTTCCGACCCGAATGGTTGGAAGGCTATGTTGATTGGGTCCCGATAAGACCCATGACACCTCTACACCATGTCTTGAGAATAGCTAGACCTATAAGCTATTTCCCAGGTATCATGCATAAATAGAAAATGAGATGTCTCACTATAAACCATGCACCAACCAATGACTTGGACCTCTTAAACCACCTTCCCGAACATAGTCCAAAATTGTGGACTTTCATGTTCGGATATATAGATGAACGGGAAGGTGTGGTAGTTGACCATGATGGAGAACCCATAAATCCTCCACCATTTAGAATGAAGCTAAACTACATTAGCAACTATGTAATCAACAAGATGGATGTTCCTTGGTATTTTGATTGGTATGATCCTTCCGATGACGAATGGGATGGTAATTCCGAAAATGAATCTTTAAGTGGTGAAAGTAGTGATTCAATCATATAAGTTGCAACATATGATTAGGCATTCTTTCACTTATATGAGTTATGTCAAGGTGATTAGTGAATTATCTCTATATAGAGAAATAACGCATAGTCTTATATGTTGATGTTGATTATACTAAAGGATTATGTAAGCATGAACTCATTATGTTGAAAGAAGGTTTACTCTTTGAAATTGTTCATCATCATCTCTTCCTTTGAAGTTTGTGGGTGTCTTCCTTGGAAAACCCTCACGAGGCTACAACTCGTCCTATCGGGGATTCCTTGCCTTGTTGCATATGGTAAATGCAACCGTACATTGCCTACGAAAAGGTAAATATCTTTTTAAAATAAATTTCTTTCTCGCCCTTATGCTTTTTGTTTCACTTTCTTGCTTGAGGACAAGCAAGGTGTTGTTTGGGGGTGTTTGATAATCGCTCAAAAGTGTAAATATATCCCCTTAACTCATGTATATTTCTCTCAAGTTATGATATAAAGTGATATGATATGCTTAGTATTGTTAGAATTACATGTTTGTAGGTGCATTTCACCCGGAAAAGCAAAAAGGAAGCAAAATGCGGTAAAAAGGCAGTTTTAACTAGCCAACTTGACGCAATTAAACGAAGGGGTTAGAGAGCTCGGATTTTGTAGCACAAATATGCATTAGAAATCTCTCACTTCCTACTTCAAGACTGTCAAGATAGATCGCAGAAAACAGAGGTCGAATCAGGACAAAAAGACTCATCAAAACCGGCCAGACCCAGTTTCTGAAGGCAGTTTTTGGGCCCATTGGGCTTCTTCGGAATCGTATTTCTAGAAGGAATTTGGACCCTAGATTTTGACTGAGTCTTCCACTTGACTTTACCAAGCACTACACAAAATTTCATCTCCAGAAGCTTCCTACAAGTTATATAACAAAATACAAACTCTTTTCTAGCAATTTTCAAGGAGTTCTAGGGTTAGAAGGACTCCTCCATATATAAGGAGAGGAGAGTCACGAAATTCATTATGCTTTGATCTTAAATTGAAGTATCATTAGGGTTTTATATTATTTCATGTTGAACAAGAAGTTCTTTTTATTTTAATACAAGTCTATTTACTTTTCAAGTTCAAGTTCTTCATATTTTGATTATATCTTTACTTTTCATGCAATTTAATATCTTGTCTTTACATTCTTGTCTTTTAATTATGTCTTTCACTTTTACTACCATCATAATCATCACCACAATCACCATGAGCTAATCGATTCATGATGTTTTACAAATGGATTAGGTAAGTAGAAGAATTTACAACAAGTGTTCCATGTTTGCCATGCTAGGAAGGTAATTATTTAATGATTGATCACATAGGATAGTTTTGCCTCTTTATTCTTCATAATAAATAAAAGAGAGATCTTTTTGCATGAGTAGAGACTTCCGAGCCTCATACGCCCGTTAATATATCTTGGCATCGAGAGAGAGAAGGTAGTTAACAATTTGTATAAAGAGAAGTGATTCACTACTTTCATGACGGCATCGAGATGAGAGGTATTGGGTCTTGAATACGTCTTGAGGTCGAGTTCCTAGGTCGAGA